ATTGATGAGGTAGACTGCAGTGTCTCCCCCAGGTTCACTACGTCATGGGGGGTCGCACCCCTGTTTATAATGATGGGAAACACTGAACTGGCAGCGGTCGGTTATCAAAACATTGGTCAAATAACCAGTATGTTCAGGCTTCATGAGCAAATACAGAATCCCTTTGTGTTCCTTTCCAAAGCCGCAAGCCGCAAATGTTTATACTTCTCATCCAACCACAATCAAATTCACTGTCCGCATAGCTCCATTTATCTGGATGGGTTTTTGTGTGTGTGTGTTTGTGAACGACGACAAGCCGGAAGTAACGAGGCTGTTTTTAAAATGTAAGGAGTAGAAAGTACAGACATTTGCGTGAAAATGTAAGGAGTAGAAGTAAAAAGTCGTCTGAAAAATAAATACTCCAGTAAAGTATAGATACCCAAAATTTCTACTTAAGTACAGTAACGAAGTATTTGTACTTCGTTACTTGACACCTCTGTGTGTGAGGATAGTCACAATTGGAGATTTAAAACGCACCTACCTCCAAATGTTTTCCTGTTGATGTCCATGACTCTCACCATCTCTCAGCAGTGAGCCATTTGTTTATGCAATCTAATGGGTGTGGTGGAAATTTGTGGATTTAGCCACAATTTGTGGATGTGAGAAATCAAAAGTATCTTGAGCTTGCTTTGTGATTAAGTAGGAAGATCTGACCAAGTTGAAGAGGAGAACAGGAGCTTATATACACTTCAGGGAGGTTTGTGCTGCCTCAGCACAGGAGAGCCCACCCCTCAAAGAGGAGTGTTGGAAAAGTACCAGATGATGTAGGGGTGACCCCGTGACCCTCCCTTAAGGGACCCAGACAATCAACAACATCTAAAAGGTCAGTCAGGGCACGTATGATTTCATCTGTGTCTTATCTTACCCTGGACTGCCTTAAGTCACCGGCTCACATCAAAGGTCACATTCCTGAGAGCCTCACCCCACACAGGCTCAACAATTTTCCCCCAACAATGGGCTGGAAATGTATTGTATTCCCATGGCAGATGCTCCCCAGTGCAGTCCTCTCACCATCTCTCTGTGGCTCTGAGCTTTGCCCTGACTCTCATGGAGATAACAACAGCTAGCCACTCTCTCCTCCCTATTTGTGCCTAATGACTTTCCCACCCTACTTCACTGAGATGACAGAGGTGGGAGAGAGAGAGAGAGAGAGAGAGGGGGAGGGAGAGAGGGAGGGGCAGGGTGCAAAGCTTAAGAAGGGCCTTGTGATGAAAGAGCAACGATGGTCATTTACATCGTGTTTCAATCCACCCAGGCAGATTTCTGGGTTTGTGCCACAGAGGCAGTCAAGTGGGAAATTACAGAAGGTGCAGAAGACCAGAGTTTGTATGTCTGATGTTGATTGCGGTAATTAATTAAGTGTTTTGGCAGGGAGGAAAAAAATTAAATTACAGGATCCCAGAAATACTAAGAGGTGCACTGAAATGTCACGGACACGTTGCTCTGTACATTTTGTAAGTGTCGCTTTTTAAACTGTGTCGTCAATCATTGCAGAGACAAGATTTTAGTGCCGTAATCCCGCTTAAACCCTCCAAGTGGGCTTTTAGTTTTCCACATTTAAGAACTCAATATAATTTCCTATTTGTTGGGGGAAGTACTTCTCTGTTGCCCAAGGTGTGATTTGCAACGGCTATCTTGCATACTTTAATTAGAGCTACTTTCCAACTCGATAAAACTGAGAAGGAATTTCATGTTCCTTATCAGAAGGGATACTGTTTGCCCCCTTGTCTGTCTTCACTCACCGCCAGACCGGTTTAAGCACTGGTCCTTCTCCTTATCCACTGCCTGGGGGCCTCAAACAGGCAACAGTAGGCCCACAACCCTGTAGAACCACGTTGGTGCCATTATAGACCCTGTTCATGTGTCCATGAGTTTAAATGTGACTGTAAAAGCTGTCGATGTTCCATAGCAGGGAAAGCAATGGAGTAATTAATTGTCCTATTAAGTGATTACTGGATTACTAATGTGATTATGCCCTCATTTATGTCATCTCTGAACTGCTTTTCCTGAAGGAAAAAAACACATAAAAATGTATGGCTGTCAAACTGTCTATGAAAGGTCTTCCTGACAAAAAAAGTGATTTAATCCGTTTCCGAAGTGAATAAAGAGTTTTCAAGATCTTTCACAGGCCTATAGTTGGCCTAAAGTATAGCAGTTTATTCTACTATCCAGAAATAGTGAAGATTGTGGTGGAAATTTGTGGATTTAGCCCTTGTGAGAAATCAAAAGTATCTCAAACTTGCTATGTGATTAAGTATTTATTACTAACTAGAATATAGGAAAAAGATAAAGAATACAGAAATCATCACAGACAGAAGTCAAATGATTACAATTCAGCTGAAAAGGGACAGATGTTCCTTCCCCCAAAAGGAGCAGGAAGATCTGACCAACTTTTTGTCATTTTGACAATCCGGAATCAACTTAAGAAACTCTAAACAACAATCAAATCGAAATTAAGGAAGAAAATTAAACAACAAAGAAAACACTTAGAACATACATCAGTGGTGTAAATTCACAAAGATTCAGAACATCACATCATTAACTTCTAGGTACATTGAGAACTCTTGCTAAACATTAACACATAAAATGCTGTCTACACACAATCCTCACACTCATCATCACTGTCAGAGCTATCCGGATAGGGTGGAATCCATTTCTGAACCGGACACTGTATAGTAGTACTTGTGTGATCAACTGATACATGAGTACTAACAACCTTCCTTACAAAGAGCTTTAAAACAGTTACAATTAGGGTTATAACAATTACAGACAAAATGATGCCCCCTAATTAGCAGTTCCTAGAAGAGAGAAGTTCCCCATGATCCAACCCGTGCTTGTATTTCCCCAAAAGGATTCCAGCCGTGGTCTTTATGCAATTCCTTAATGCCTTGCTCTGTGTCTGCCACCGCATCATAAACTGATGATGTTGCATTGGAGATGTAAGCACAACATTCAGTGTTGATTATCTTGCATACCCCGCCTTGTGAGGCCAGAACGAGGTCCAGAGCCATTCTATTTTGTAGTACCATGTGTTTGATGTCATTTACTTCCTTTTGCATTTCGAAAAGTGCTATTGAAGTCTTATTCATGTGTCTTTCCAGTACTGTTGAGAGTGCCCTTATTTCCTCTTGGCTCCTGTAGGTGCCATACGATGGTATTAGTATGCTCAAAATCCTTGAACCTAGTGAAATGGCGCATTTATGACGTACATGGAACGGCGCAAGTTCCTTGGAGTCAGCTTATCTAATTAGGGGTATAAGATATGCTAAATAGCATTCCCCAGTAAATGACCTTTTACGAAGGTTCCCTACGACCGGAACACAGATGTAAGCGATGTTGCCACAAACTAAATACACCTTTTCCGGTAATGCAAGGTCTTTAGACTCAATGGCAAAGCTGATATCCTAATTACTACAGTCACTCGTACCTAGATGAAATCATCCAGAGCATAGAAGTTAACACAACGGCTGCCGTTGGTTAAGGGATGGACCGGAATGGGAGGTGCTGGTTTGGTACAATCTCTACTCTGAGGTCTGGTTGGGATTAAAGGTTTTTACTACAATTATGTCTACTCCAAGTCGAATGTGTGACTTTGAAATCATTTTCCCAGGGAATGCCCTGTATGCCCATCTCCAATCGAATAGACAGTAGGAGCTAGCGCAAATCGTGGCACTGGCAACCTGCCGAGGCACTTCCTGTTGCAGGTTGCGGTGCCGCGGCGAATCGTGGCAACTGCCTCGACACTGCAGCAGTTGCCACGATTTCACAAGCCAGTTGTCACGAAGTCGAGGCAGTTGCCACGAAGTCGAGGCACTTGCCACGATTTCACGAGGCAGTTGCCACGAATTCGAGACACTTGCCACGACTTCGAGGCACTTGCCACAATTTCACGAGCCAGTTGCCACGACTTCGAGGCAGTTGCCACGATTTCACGAGGCAGTTGCCACGAAGTCGAGACACTTGCCATGACTTCGAGGCAATTGCCACGGCTTCACGACAGCTACCTCGACTTTGCCGCAGTGGTGCCTCGACGGTTGCCGTTTTTACGACAGCTGCCTCGACTTTGCGCCAGACAGTTGCCGTTTTATTTCCCAAATATGTGATATGTTTGTTTTATCATTTGCCACTATGTGACTACAATACTGCCTTTAAAATTACCAGTGTTGGTAGTTATTATTATTAACTATTAACTATTATTATTATTCCTGCCTAGTGCAATAACACTTTACAATAAATCATCCCTGGCTAAATAATGACAATAATAACCCTGTACTGCTGCTGCTCTTTCCTCTTCCTCTTCTCCTTTTACAAATTATTATTATTGTCTCTTTTGGAAGGTTATTCTTTTGTTTCAGTTTATTTAATTTAATTTAATAATTTAATATTTCTATCTTATTATATTGTATATAATGTGTATCTTTTTATTCTATTTTCTTCCCTGTACATGCTGCTGCATGTTGAGTGTTCTTCTGATCAAGGTTCAAAAACAGACAACTTAAAAGCATGGCCTTAATGTGGTTCTATAGTGTGATAATGTTTTAAAAGTAATAGCATCCAATTATCAAAAAATGACTAAGATATTACACTCCATTTAGAATTAATGAAAAAAAATATTAACCGCAACTGGTCAAATATTTCTTTTATCATCTTGGAAAATAATCTAGATGGTGTATCAATGCAGAATCTGTATTGTATTCTAGCATTGTTGTAATAAAGAGGCAGCACTACTGGGTCTCTTGTTATTTTGCAAATATCTGTTGCAATGAATACAAATGCAAAGAGTAACAGGTTTTTTTGCGTGTGTGTGAGAAAATTTGATGAACCCTTTGCAATTTGGAAATAGTAATTAGTATGGTATAATTTAATAGCTAATTTTACTAAATGAATATCAAATGTGTAGGCTGTAACATATAAATCACATTCAAAGACTTCGAAAAATGAAGAGTCAAACAAACAAACTGTTAGATTTGGTTGGAGCTTTATGACAAAAAAGGTAAATTAGACTAATACAATTAAAAATATACAGATATATGATAAAAGGTTATATTCACTACATTTTGGCAACAGAAGCAGGCAGTGCTGTAGTGTTGCAACAGCAACTACACCAGTACTAGAATTGTGTAAAAAAACAGCTGCGCAAACAAATAACATTTCACTATAGTTTTATAAAGTTAGAAAAAAAATACGGTTTAAAAAAACGTTATATAACGGGGGTGATATTAAAAAGTGCTCAAAAGCCTAGTGAATGTGAGCTGCATTTGTTTACTCCTGGTAAACAGGTGATGCTCACCTAAAGGTATACTCCCTCTCGTGGCTAAATGGGTCCCTCTTGTGGCTAAATGGGTCAATAACTTGTCTTTCAAAAGTGTGTGTGTGTGATATATATATTAAATATAATAAAATAAAATAACAAATAAATAAACAAAAAACATTTTAAAAACCCACAAACACATATGACTTAAAAGTAGCCATACTATTACAAATATAAACAGCAAAACCAACTATGCTGGTCTTTTGCAGTCATCGTGCTTTAGGAAACTCAAGTCGGGAACGGAGAAGTGTTACAGCGGTCGTTACTATAATTTATAATTCATAATACCCGTAGTTTGCCCACCCCTGGTATAGCTGCATGTCGAGATAACTGCTTTGCAAGCCGTGGCAGCTGCTGCAGCATGTCATGTTGACTGCCGCGGCAAGTCGTGGCAGTTGCGCTCGCCAGAGGACCTGCAAGACAGGAACTGTGGCAAGCTGATTGATCACGTGATGTTTACAATAGCTGGAATGATGCTGTTTGGGCCTCATGCGGTCACATGCACATTGCATCACTTATCGGCGTTTTATGACTAAACCAATTACAACCAACAACACAACGTACTCTTAAGCACAGAGTACAGGATAGTACAGGATAGTGCAGGAAAATATTGTCACATTTTGTCAAAATATGAAAAGAAAACTGCAACAGTCGAGGCATCATTGCCGCAAAGTCGAGGCAGCTGTCGTGAAGTTGTGGCCGCTGCCGCGACTCGCCACGGCAACTCAACCCGCAGATAACAGTCGTACTTAAACTGTATTATACTGTCACATGTTGCATACATATGAATACTAAAATTAATGGAAACAGCCGTGGCACCCCTCCCTTAAACTCCCGGTACGTTAACAGCCGTGGCACCTCTCCCTTAAACTCCCGGTACGTCTATCAGCCGAGGCACAGCTCCCTTAACAGCCGTGGCACCTCTCCCTTAACAGCCGTGGCACCTCTCCCTTAAACTCCCGGTACGTCTATCAGCCGAGGCACAGCTCCCTTAACAGCCGTGGCACCTCTCCCTTAACAGCCGTGGCACCTCTCCCTTAAACTCCCGGTACGTCTATCAGCCGAGGCACAGCTCCCTTAACAGCCGTGGCACCTCTCCCTTAACAGCCGTGGCACCTCTCCCTTAAACTCCCGGTACGTCTATCAGCCGAGGCACAGCTCCCTTAACAGCCGTGGCACCTCTCCCTTAACAGCCGTGGCACCTCTCCCTTAAACTCCCGGTACGTCTATCAGCCGAGGCACAGCTCCCTTAACAGCCGTGGCACCTCTCCCTTAACAGCCGTGGCACCTCTCCCTTAAACTCCCGGTACGTCTATCAGCCGAGGCACAGCTCCCTTAACAGCCGTGGCACCTCTCCCTTAAACTCCCGGTACCTCTATCAGCCGATGCACCGCTCCCTTTGGTCGTTGCATGCCTCCGTTAGGTCGTGGCAAGACTCCCGTAACTCGAGGTACCGCTAGAGGTACCTCTCTCGACCGATGAACCGGCCCCTGAATTCGTGGTACCGCTCGAGGTACCTCACTCAGCCGAGGCAACAGGCGAGGCAGTTGCCGTAAACTCGAGGCAGCTGCCACGATTCGCCGCGGCACCGCAACCTGCAACAGGAAGTGCCTCAGCGAGTTGCCGGTGACACAATTTGCGCTAGCCCTCTCTCCTCGGTTTCTTCGTGAGCAAGTGTATGATGTATTCTTAAAGTGAAAGTTACAATGCTTTTCAAAGCTTCAAAGTGAGGGTGCAGATTTGTTTGGATTTTTATGCCTTGCATGTTTTATTAAAGCGACAACTGAGAGAGAGAATCAACATGATTAGACCGGAATTAAATTCTCCAACGAGGTCACCTTGATTCACATTAATGAGTCTGAGGAGAGGAGGACAGGGGGAATTTGTGTGTTTACATCGGCGTGCTCCCCTTTGGCTGCTTTAATCTGGCGACGATTGCAGAATGAAAGGTCAGCAAAAAAAAAACAAAACAAGCTGTTTGGGGATTTTGTTACTGAGCCCATTAAAATGCAACTCTTCACATTAGCACCAATAGTGGTTAAACTCCAAGAAAGGAATAAATATGTATTTGATCACTGAATATATGCTCAAAAGGAAATCACTGAAGAATATTTATAATCCCGAGTCTTTGTAATGGCATCTACACTGAGCCGACTCGGCTGTGAGGGTTATGGCCCCAGGGGGCCACGTTAACAACCCCCGGCCTCATGATGCAGGGATCTGGAAGCTGAAAGTGAGTCGAGGGGAGTGATTATGTTAAAAGGAGAATTTGACTTTGGGCTAGTGGGGAGTAACTTTGGACAAGCGGAAGTAGATAGATAGATAGATAGATACTTTATTGATCCCTCAAGAGGGAAATGTTGGTATCACAGCAGCATGTACAGGGAAGAAAATAGAATAAAAAGATACACATTATATACAATATAATAAGATAGAAATATTAAATTAAATTAAGTTAAATAAACTAAAACTGAAACAAAGACTAACCTTCCAAAAGAGACAATAATAATAATTTGTAAAAGGAGAAGAGGAAGAGGAAGAGCAGCAACATCACAGCAGTACAGGGTTATTATTGTCATTATTTAGCCAGCGATGATTTATTGTATTGCACTGGGCAGGAATGATCTCCTGTATCGGTCCTTGTGACCGCGGAGCTGAAGGAGTCTGTTGGAGAACGTGCTCCGACGTCCCTGTAGCAGGTGGTGGAGGGGGTGGTCAGGATTATCCAATATGGATAACAGTTTCTTCAGTGACCTCCCCTCCAACACCTTTTCCAAGCTGTCCTGTTTGCAGCCAATGATGGAGCCGGCGTTCTTAACAAGTTTGTTAAGTCTGTTGGTGTCACCGGCTCCAATGCTGCTCCCCCAGCAGACCACGGCCATGTACAAAGCACTGGCCACAACAGACTGATAGAACATCTCCAACATCTTGCTGCACACATGGAAAGATTGAAGCTTCCTCAAGAAAAAGAGTCGACTCACCCCCTTCCTGTAGACGGCGTTGGGTTTCGGAAGCTCTCGAGGGAGGACTCAATCCTTTGTTCTCGTCCCGGCCGGAAACGAGGACACGAATGAGTCAATTCGTTTAAATTCAAAAATCAAAAGTTATTTAATAACTGAACAACGTAATAGGGATTACAATTACAAAGTGAAATACTAAGCGAACAGTGGAATATTTCGCGAAATAGAGAATCCTCTGAGCAAGTCTGAAGTGACTTATCAACGCGGCTGCAGGAGAAATTCTAACAGTCTTTTCCCCGCCATGGTCCTTTGAAAACTCTTGAGGTGTGTCTTCCTTGGTGCATTTGAATGTCATTGGCCTCTTCTCCAAAGGGTCTCCTCCTCCATTGTCCCCTTCACGTCGAGGTGTGAAGCTGCAGCTGTAACCTGAAACCTCTCTGTCCTAGCTGTCCCTCACACTCCAATGCACTCAATGTAGATACATTCGGCTTTATGCCTCAATGAGTGAATTTAACAAAGCATACATCGTTTAAGTCTTCATCTTATAACTAGTACACTTTCATTACAACAACCCATCATTAATGATCACCGTTCATCACACTTCATCATAAGATCTAAGACAGTTCATGTGGTTCAATTTTCAAGACATTTGCCTCAGTCGGCTGCCTTACATGAAGTTGTTCATTTGTTACCTGACAGGAGAAAAAACTCCCAAAAAACCCTCTTTGGGGAAAAATTGGAAGAAATCCATAAAGAACGGCAATTGGCATCCGTCCCCAGGTTTTAACATCACATTGTAACAGAATGTTAATGTGTACAGTGTTTATATGATTAACATGACTATGAATTGTGTTTGATTGAAATTGCATTCACTTCATCTAACATGTTAATGTAGTAACTAATATCTAATAACACACAAACTATAATTCTAACACTAAACATTATTACACGTACTATAATTTCCTGACTAGGGGTGCACTTCTGGCTTAAATCCCTAACAATGTTGGTCTTCCAGTTCAGTCTGTTGTCGATGGAGACACCCAGGTACTTGTAGTCCTCGACCATGGCCACCTCCTCTCCCAGAACCCTCAGCGGTAGCGAAGCCGTCGTCCTCCTCCCGAAGTCGACCACCATCTCTCTGGTCTTGGCCACGTTCAGGAGCAGGTGATTTCTGCCCGCCCACACCACAAAGTCCTCCACTACTGCCCTGTACTCCTCCTCCCGTCCATCCCATACATCCATACACCCTACCACTGCAGAGTCATCAGAGAATTTCTGCAGATGGCAGGACTCCGAGTTATACTAAAAGTCAGTGGCATATAAGGTGAACAGGAAGGGAGACAGAACAGTTCCCTGTGGAGCTCCAGTAACACTGACAACTTTACGGGACCTTCTGCTGCTTCAGGCCCAGGTTGAAGAGGGGTTGAAGGACCTCAGCCAGCTGGAAAGCACAGGTCTTCAGGACCCTGGGGCTGATGCCATCAGGTGGGGGGGGTCACGGCGTCAGTTGGGGAAGGGCCCTTTGAAGTGGCCTCACAGTCCATGCCGCTCACCAGGGGAGATAGAGGGGGGAGGGAGGAAGGCAGCAGAGGTGTAGGGGGGGTGGAGGAGCCCTTTGAAGTTGGGGGCTCTGTGTCCATGCAGCTCACCAGAGGCGACCGGGGGGAGGGGGGAAGTCAGCAGAGGTGTTTTGGAGGTGAAGTGTGAGGAGGAGACAGGTGAGGGCTGTGAGCTGAACCTGTTGAAGAAGCAGTTCAGCTCGTTTGCCCTCTCCCCTGGTTGACTCTGTCTTCCCTTGAAGCCTGAGATCTCTTTCATGCCAGACCACACCTCCCTCACGTTGTTCTGCTGGAGTTTGGCCTCCAGCTTCCTCCTGTAGGAGTTCTTACACTCCCTGATCTTCACCTTCAGGTCGCGCTGAACTCCTCCCTGAGTTCCTCCCTGTCCCCAGACTTGAAAGCTGTAAGGAAGTGTAAGGACTAGAGAATCCCGAGGGAATGGAAATCAGTTATTTTATTCACTTTAAATCATTCAAGTTTTTTTTTTTTTTACTACTTGTATACACAAAGAAAATACAAATGATATATATATGTATATATATATATATAAAAAAAAAAAATAGAACAACAAAGAGCTAAGACACAACAGAAAAAAAAACGGAAAAAAAGGAGTGGGATGAAGCATGACACTTATTTGATGTCCCACCCCTTTTCAACATGCTCTTCAGCCTGTACCCACACAGAATACTACATACACAATACAAAATACACCTACATACCACGCATACACTTCACAAATATCCAATCACAAAAACAAACATAGACCACATGCATATCCCTGCAAACATACCTATAACATGTATATATATATATATATATATATATATATATATTGTTGTGTTCAATGAAATGAAGAAACGCCGGACGGACAGAGGTCATCGCTGATCAAAAGGTTAAAATCAAATGTATTTAATAATGGAGATGGCGTTGTGGTAAAAAGAACATCTCAGCTGAGGAGCCGCTGGTCTCAGCAACCAACAGGTCCCAGGTCAGTCCTTTGACCATCCCTAGTGCCCGTCTGTAGCCTCCACCAGTGAACTCGAGAACAATGCTTCCTACAGGTATTTATAACAATGCTTAAAGGTGTGAAAGTCAGTGTCCACACCTCTGGGAGTGGTCTTCTGGTGAGTTCAATGTAACTCTTTCGATTTCGAATGATCCATAGTCAATATCAGTTATGGTGTATTACATGCATGCATTCCAGTTGATTACATTACATCAAATACAATCATAACTGCATTGGTATTATTCTATTACAGTTGCAGAATTACAGTGGTTTTACAATATTGTCATTACTTTATTGATTACACAGTTTCAGAATCATGGCTGTATTCTGGTGTACACTATATGCATTTTTATTAATTTTATGAACCGGGTCGTATATTTGTTTCTAATATCCTACAGTCAACTTAAGATATGGTTGGATATGAATAAATTATCATTAAACTTGGATAAGACCAAGTTTATGCTGTTTAGTAATTGCAAAAGCAAAACAAATTTGCAAATCCTAATAGATAATGTGTCAGTAGAGAGAGTTAATGAAATTAAGTTTTTGGGAGTGATGGTAGACCATAAGATTTGCTGGAAACCGCATATTAAATACATTCAGTCTAAAATATCCCGAAGTATTGCTGTTCTTAGCAAAGCTAAACATTTTCTAAATTATGCTGCACTACATATTCTATATTGCTCACTTATTTTGCCTTACTTGAGTTACTGTATGGAAGTATGGGGCAACACCGATAAAACCCTGCTGCGACCGTTATGTACATTACAAAAAAGAGCCATCAGAATGGTTCATAAGGCAGGATTCCACGACCATATTAACTTATTATTTATACAGTCCTGCTTCCTCAAACTGCCAGATCTAGTAGAATTTCAAACTGCTATGCTGATGTATAAAGCTAGAAATAAACAACTACCAGATAACGTGCAAAAACTGTTTATTAATAGAGTGGGGGGCTATGATTTCAGGGAAAACCTTAACTTCAGAACCTTGAGGGTTCGAACCACCATGAAGAGAATGTGCATTTCAGTCAGTGGTGTGAAGGTCTGGTATAAACTTCAAAAAGACCTGAAGCAAAGTCCAAGCAAGACTCTGTTTAAAAAAAGACTCAAATTGGTGATTCTCA